AATTCAGAGCTTGGCAGAGAAAACCAGTTGACACTGGAAGTTTAAAGGAGCTTTTCTCATTTCTCAGCTGGTACGTGCTGCTGGTACAGACCAGCAACTTTTCACCCGTGTATTGACTGCTTGCTATCAGCAAATTCATTTTTTACTACAGCAACGTAGTAATAAAGCAAAGATTGTGCTATAAAAACCCTGGGGCCACATTCTGATCATTTATGCAGACACAAAGCCAAGAAAACTACTCCAAATATATACTAGGGTACACAAAAATATGATGCTCAAGGTACTTCAAGCCTCTCTGTCCCACTGAATCCCTCCCAGAAGGAAGCTGATCTCCGAACATCACCGCCGTGAGGCCATTAGGACCATTCAGGCACATCATCATTAGAGACTGCAGCGCAAGGTACCTGCCTGAATGCACAATGCCCCGGGAAGATGCCAGCTGGAAACGTGTTTTGTTCGGGTATTTCTTTCTCCACGCACACCACTGGAAAAGAAAAAAAAAAAGTTAAATAAATCACACGAAGCCAGGAGCCTTCAGGCATCTGAAACGTGCTTCACGCTTGGCACCCAAAAGGTCGCCCGGTGAGTGAGACCCCTTGGCACTTCTCCCCTGTAACAGCTTTTGTGCAAATGACACCACGTGGATCAGTTCAGCCATAATAAAGGTTACTGGGGATGGAGGAGTGGCACAATCCTTCTCACAGCCAGAAGCAAACACCCAGTGACCAGCACAAACCTCCCGTTATCTCCTACCGCTGTTATCGAGGTCTTGTTGCCGCAAACCGTGCTGTGAGAGAAATCATCATAGAAATCATGGAAGAAACACAGGTTTTGTTTTGCTATTAGAGCTCTGGGGAGCTGGTTTATTGCAGCTGGTGGAAAATTTTGTACAGGGAGGGCTCAAAGACCTCCCCTCATTTGAGGTGTGGAGCATTTACTCACATGGCATCATCCAAATGGCTCAGACAGAAGAAAAATGTCACTTTTTGATGCCGTCTTCTAGAATTAGTGGACTGATGCTGTGTGGGGGTACGGATAGTGTAAAGAAGAGATGATCCCAGTGCAAGACGCTTGCAAGACGACGGCCCAGGTCTCTGGGCAGACTATTCAAAGCCAGGAGACTAAACCAGATGCTGTTTTCGACTATAGCAACAAGAGGTAGGTAGCAACCTGCTGAGACCCCTGTCCTGTGAGGGAAGCAGAGAAACTTGCAGAGCCAAAACCAGCATTAGTAAGGGGGGAAAAATGAAATTCCGTGGTGATTAGAAGCAAGGGAAGACAGAGACCTCAGTTAAACAACCCAACGACGCAGCATCCTCCTGCTAATGTGGTACCCATCAATGAGAATGGTGCTTAATTACTGGGTGGTACCTAGAGTATCACTATATCCCAGACTGCCATTAAAAAAAATCCCATGCCCACTTAAAATGTGACAGGGTTGAAACCAAGCAGCGTTCAATACCCGTGACTCAGCGCAGAAACTTCTCTCTTTGCTGCAAATGCTCTCAGCCAGGCAGTCCGGCACTGGGCAGCTTTTAACTCCTCCAGCATTACTCTGGGGCTGCCAATATTTGCTGCCATAACGCCTTTCTAAACTGTGTAAGACGTGAGGATTTCGCCACTGTGTTATGCTACGATGAAGAACAGACCCCAACCGACCTGCTCATCTCACGCCTGCGGTGCAGGGGGAAATTTGGAAGTATGGAAGATGTGACAGGTAAGAGGTTCACCGCTCCATCGGCCCAGCTGCTGGGGAGGAGAGGTGGGTGTCAGCGCAGGTGGGGAGATGGATGGAAAAAGAGCATCTGGGGGATACAGCAACAGGAGGAAATTCTCCAGCTGGCTGTAGCTTGGCCATCAGGTCCCTGCAGAGCACATGCAGGTCTTCTTGGGCATCATCAAACAGGGGGGCATCTCAGATGGCAAGATGTGGCTCGAACCTGGTGCAGATGCTAAACCTTTGCTGCCTGCGACTGCTCGGGTTGTGACTGAAGCCTTCTGCAACACCCCTGACTTCATGGAGGAGGACACCCCGGAAAAAAATAAATCAGTCGCCCGCCTCACGCACCAACAACCACCCAGCCTCAAGAGGTGCCTGGAGCAGGGGGGAAAGGAGATGAACCAGAGCCCTGTAAAAATGCAAAAAGCACCGTTTTGGCTTGGGAGAGCCTCCCGTAACCCTGCTGGAAGGCTGCTGGGGGCAGGCAGAGGCAGAAGGAGGGACCACGCGTCCCCCCAGCCCCGCCGGACCCCCCCTTGCAGCAGCAGCAGGGCCGGCCGGTCCCCGCCATTGGCGGGGGG